CGCCGCAGCGCTGGGCACCGCCCAGCGAGATCTCGCGGTATCGCTTCATTGGACGATTCAATGGGCTATCGCCTCCTTCGCGAGCCACCGGGATGATCGAGTGGTGGAAAAATTCCACGGGAAAGGCCGGTGGATCCTGAGGAACCGACCGGCCAACAAGACCAGTGAGCGATCGGCAACAAAGAGGACGCCGACGTACCGCTTGGAATCCAATTGTAGCCACCGGGCAGAGTTTCGCTGGAATGAAGACGGCAATGATGACGAGGGAAACGTTTCCCGGGCTCACGTTCATCTACTCGATAGGGATATTTAGGGAGCACGGATCGAAACCACGGATTGGGTTTCCTTCCTAGATTCCACGAGAGATACGCCGGAAATTGATGACAGCAATTTCGACCCTGACGCGATCAACTGAATTTGTGACACGATGAAAGAACCGGCATACTGAATGTTCAGAGATGACACTTTCGGACATACTTTCGGGGAATTCTTTTGGGCACTTGCTTCGTTCGACTTTCAAATACGAGTTAGAGTTATTGTTAACATTTTTGCTATGGCGATATTCAGTCAGAAAATATTTGTACCGATGAATTGTATGGAGTATAATAAAGTCTTTTCAGCTTTTAATTCAGTCAGTGTACTTCATACTAGTACATTAACGTTAATTCCCTTATGGTCTTGCAATCAACCCCTGTTTAGAGATCTGCGTTTACTGCAAATATAAATTAATGTAACATATATATCTATAGTTGAAACAATTCATTAAAACTATAACTTTTTATTTGAAATAACTCATTATTGTACTCTGTAATTTTTTACTTAGTTCCGAATAAAATATGTCCAACCCTAAGCTGATCAGATGTGTCCAATAATTTAATGATTAACTACTGCTCTCAACAAGAACAGTGTTTAATGCAAAAACATACGAATCATTCAAACTAAAAGGTTCATTGTAATAAATAATTATAATTACTTCCTAGTAGAATAGAATTTAAGTTAATTCCCGAAGGATTCGAAGTAAAATGAGACACGGTTCTAAGATAACCGAGATAAAATGATGGAACAATGGAGTGTACCGAAGAAAAACGATAAATCTTTGGAACTCGACGAAATGAAAACGTGTTTAGTTCCGAGAATGAAATGTGTAAACTGAAAGTGCTGATGTAGAATGTACAGGTCTAACAGAATTGACAGGTGACGCGTTGATGATAAGAATGTTTGCGGAGGACGCATTACCGGCAACTATACAAACACTGATTTCAAAGATAATATATCTGAAAATGAGTTTCAGTTTGCGCAACGAAAGAAAACGAGGAACTTATTGTTTATATTTGAAACGTTGCATAACTCTGATTTTTAGTATCAAGACAAATGTGCTTATTAGCTATTTAAAGTGATTTGAAATAATCGATGAAAATCTTCAAACATTATCTAATGCATTGTTCATTCATAAAATTTATTAAATGTAATTTATAAAATAGACCATAGAAGAACATTTTTTGCATAGAAGAAAATTACACTTCCCCTAAAAACATCTACAAGAATAAATAACAGCAATAATTGTACAAATAACAGCAATAAGACTGTTAAAATATTTGTATTAACAGTTTGTCCTATAAAACGACGCGAATAACAAATGATTTGCATGATCATACCACATCGTTTGTTCAAATCTTTTCACTGCTTACATAACGATGATCCCTGGACATTACGTAATACAAAGTTTTGAAAGACAACGCAGTATGTACGACTTACCTTGCGTGTTATTGGCGACGATATGACTCGTATTACGTAAAGCTGAAATCAACTGGGCTGTACACGAAGACTGACGTTTGGTTCTAATGCGAAGTAGTATAGGACCGCAGATCAGACGTGACAAAGGAGAATAAGGTTTACAGTGGTTGCAGCAATGACACTTTCCCACTATTTAATTAAGCTTCAACTGAAGCAAAAATATTGGCAATTTTATTTTATTCCTCTTTACAATTATATTTTCTATACCTTAGCAATTATTTATATATTTTGATAATTATACATTTTATGTACATTTATATTTTTTCACTTATTTTCATGTTTTCATGTTTTATAAATTTATGGTTGATTTTTTGACTGTATTAAACTTTTCTGTTATTAATATTTGTGTGTAATTATTTAACAAGTATAGTTGAATATAACTTAACCTAATATAGGAACAAGTATAGTATTCTCCAGATGTTCACAAATAATCAAAGTAATATTGTAAGAGGATCAGAGTCACTCTTAGGGGTTGAAGCATTAAATCATACTATGAATACATGAGGAACAGATATAGTACTCTCCATAGATGCTTCCAAAATAACCTGGATAACACTTTGGGTGGATAGAAATCACTCTCAAGGTTGGAGAAATGAAATTAGACGAATGGTGCTTGCTAACCAAGTGCACTATTCTCCACAGATCTCCCAAAATACCCAAGACAGTGCTTTGGGTGGCTAAAAATCACTCCCAATCGCTAAGAAATGAAATTACACGAGTGGCACTAGCTGACCAAGTACACTACTCTCCACAGATCTCCCAAAGTAACGAAAATAGTGCTTTGGGTGGCTAAAAATCACCCCAAATCTCCAAGAAATGAAATTACACGAGTGGCACTTGCTGACCAAGTACACTACTCTCCACAGATCTCCCAAAGTAACGAAAACAGCGCTTTGGGTGACTAAAAATTACCCCAAATCTCCAAGAAATGAAATTACACGAGTGGCACTAGCTAACCAAGTATACTACTCTCCACAGATCTCTCAAAATACCCAAGTTAGCGCTCTGGTTGACTAAAGATCACCCCAAATCGCCAAGGAATAAAATTACACGAGTTCCAAACCTAACAAAGAAGACTACCAAAGGGATGAAAATTGAAGGGTTGAAAAATCCGTTGGCACAGTTGAAAAGCGCGTATTCGGTGAGCGGATAGATCACAGAGAGGCCGCCGTGTTGGCGCAGGAAACGGAAACTGGCGGAAACAAAGCCTCGGCAAACAGACGGCATCCCACGGGGAATGTTACCAGGGCAAATAGCGCGCGTCCTCGCTATCGCCGTGCCGCGACAAATATTGTCACGTCCGTGGCACGAAGAAAGGTACCTCGGCTCGTTTCGACCTACGTCCAGGCCGATAGATTAGGTCCTAGCCACACGATACTGTAAACGCCATCACCTTCGCCCGTGGGCAGAGATAACGAGGAACGATCGGGACAGGTCCACGTCGAATTAGCAGGTAGGTCCGAGCTTCGGCATCGACGAGGGTCTACCGGCTGGCTCCTACGGACGGAAACTTTCTCGGACCACGGATGTAGATGTTTCTGATAATATATAATCAGCATGCGCAGTTCAGTTTAGCGTATGATTACAGGCCAAGCTCGATTAATCCTGCTCGATATTGGTCGGTATTGCTTAATGATATCGATACACCGGTGTCGACGTTCCAGTTTCGTCCACACGTCTCAACCTTTCTGAACTTCTTCGAAATAGACAAATTCTTATGTTGTTTGCATTTTATATTTCGGTATAAAAATATATGTTCGGTGTATGTGTTCGATCATTTACATGGAGGTGTATTTTATATTTAAGTTTCATTTCATTTGTCCACATAGAGGTTTATGTATACAGAACTGTATTTTATATGTGTGCACAGATGTGTGTCGTTTACGTACACTGAGCTGTACGTACAAGTGTACCTTGTTTATTGCATTCGGTTGCTACAGAAGCACTTGTGATTCTTCAAAATTAATAATCGATTTTAACTCTGCGAGGTTCTAATTTTTAGGTTAGGTTCTTGCATATAATTCTTTAAGAAAAATGATGTTTATGATGAATTATTTTTACTTGTCTAGTATATTACTTATAAAATTGTAATTTTTCTTAAGTGATCGATCGTGAATTTCTGATATACCTAAAGTGACGATTTCGAAATGAGGTATCAATCAGATCGGAAGGGAGCGATAGAATTTTTTGAGGCCACCCAGTTCGCGAGAGAGCTCGACGTGTCTCAAAGCGTTGTCAGACACGACGATAATAAGTGTCTCCCGGAATGGCGGCTACATCAAAGGCGCCAGTCGCGTTCTTGGTCGGCGCGAAGTCGCGAGTCACAGATACGCGGACGCGCCCAATGGGAACGCGTCTGTATGCACACATCTCTACTATGTATACTCTTAATGGTTCCTCCACAATTGCCATTTGGTGGTCATGTGACTTTCCTACATGGCTGACTACACGGAAACAAATCAAAAAGAGAGGAACTCTATAAATTGATGACACAAAGAAATGCTATTCAGAGACAGAGGCAGAGACGTTTCACAATCTACATTTTATATTTTTGATCCACCGTCGGACGTTAATAAAGTACAATTCCATAATTGCGGCACTTTATTGTCCATCCTTATCAGTTGCACTTAACGCGCAGATAAAAGGATTACTTGCTGATAATCAAAATAGCACGCACCTCGTGTCATGTTTGACATTTCGTTAGATTCTAGAAATTCATGCAGAAATTCCTTCGTAACATTTTTCTAAATTTCTTTTCTTTCTAAAGAAACTAATAGAGTCATCCATTATGTTATATTTCATTAATTATTTTATTTCATTAATTGTTGAAGATACTTCACTTTTAGAATTGATGTATGCTTGTGACAAAGTCTACTGAAACTTTGAATATCTTTCAACTTGAAGTTTAGATACATACATTTTATTACTACATCTGTCATCATAGTTCACGAAAATCTTCTTTAAAGTGTTCCTTAAAATATTCATCGCGAAGCGCTCTAAATTTGACTGGCAATGAATGTATTAAATATTGAATACTTTTCAACTTGAAGTTTAGATACATCAATTTTATTACTACATCTATCACTATAATTCATGATAATCTTCCATAAAATTTTTCTTAAAATATTAATCGCGAAACGCTCTAAATATGACTGGCAATGAATGTATTAAATATTGAATACCTTTCAACTTGAAGTTTAGATACATCCATTTTATTACTACATCTTTCACTATAATTCATGATAATCTTCCATAAAATTTTTCTTAAAATATTCATCGCGAAACGCTCTAAATATGACTGGCAATGAACGTATTAAATATTGAATACCTTTCAACTTGAAGTTTAGATACATCAATTTTATTACTACATCTATCACTATAGTTCATGATAATCTTCCATAAAATTTTCCTTAAAATATTCATCGCGAAGCGCTCTAAATTTAAGTGGCAATGAACGTATTAAACAGTGTGAGTCAGAGTGAAGGGTTAACACGATGAACAAAGTACCAAGATAGTGTGAACGGTGCTTAAACGTGGAAAGGGCTCGCGGAACAGCACCACGAACAGTTCTCTGGCATAATAGGCATAGGACGAACCCGAGAAGAATCGTGGACTAAAGCCGCACCTTGTGCTGGCCACGTATGTATGCGACGTGCACACGTTATAATACTACGCCCGCAAACGTACGAGGGAACTAAGGTTATTGAGACCATCGTACGCCGCTTTCACCTACGATCCTCCACCCTCGTTGCGGTCGTCTGGTCAATTTAAATCTGCGACTCGTTGCTTCGAAATTCAACAGAAATAGAGGGAGATTACCATATGTGGCTGCTGTTTAAAAGTTTTATAGAAAGATTTGTTATAATAGGAACTTTGTTAGTTGCACTTTCAGAACTTGCAGATATAACCTACCTTTCTGTGATCTTCATTTTATTATTTTTGTTATGTATCTTATGTACTTAACCAAATTATGCATGTCATTATGTATCTTTGATAGCTTTGTTATATTTGTAAAAATTTTTGAAGTCAAACATGAATAATAAAATAGTTGCTCATATATTCATTTTTTTGTGACGTGTTAAAAGAATATTATTTGTAATTTGCAAGGTGCAAATATAATTTTAAGCGTACCTAAATGTAGCTGGAATATCTAAATGTTTCTTGAACATAACCTAACTTAACCTAAATATAATTTCAACAGTATCCACACAAATTGTTTACATAAAATAATATCCAAATACAGTTAAAATACTATCTAAACCCAATATAACCAACATCTAAATATAATCCCCGTCGAATACCAAATACATAAACCTAAAGAACAAAAACTCCATACACATTCAGTTAAATAAGAAGTACAAGAAACGGCCATTTTGTCAGACACAATTATCTCCGAAAGGTTTCATTTCACAGAAGAACGAAGATGACAATCCAAATTAAACGTTAGCCGATATCTGAGTTGTCACCACGATGGTATCTTGCCGGTCCAACAAAAGTGTTCCTTCAATCAGCAAACAGAAGACACACCTGGTTTCTTATCTTCCTTCGAAACGCTCCGGGGAAATTTGCATACTCAAATCTCAGGTGGTTCAGACACGCATGCTTTTACCGTGGCGCATACGAAAATTATCTGTAGATACTTCTCGTCCATAATAGGCGATGTGACTTCGGTGGAGTGGGATGGTTATCAGCGTTCATTGAGAAAGGTGACAAAAGATTGTCACAAATTTCTGCAATCATGGAGCAAGTTAGAGGAGAAGACGGTAAGTGGATTGTGGATGATGGAGGAAGAGGGTTTTTTGAGGTGGCGAATTTGGGTGTTTTGGGGGTTTGAGAGTTGAGAATATGGAAATTAGGGAATTGGGGATTTGGGGAATGTGGGAATTGGGGGATGTGGGAATTGGGGAATGTGAGAATTGGGGGATGTGGGTATTGGGGTATGTGGGAATTGAGGGATGTGGGAATTGGGGAATGTAGGAATTGGGGCATGTGGAAATTGGGAAATGTGGGAATTGGGGAATGTGGAAATGGGGGGATGTGGAAATTGAGGAAAGTGGGAATTGGGGCATGTGGAAATTGGGAAATGTGGGAATTGGGGGATGCGGGAATTGAGGAAAGTGGGAATTGGGGAATGTGGGAATTGGGAAATGTGGGAATTGGGGAGAATGGGAATTGGGGAATGTGGGAATTGGGAAATGTGGGAATTGGGGAGAATGGGAATTGGGGAATGTGGGAATTGGGAAATGTGGGAATTGGGGAGAATGGGAATTGGGGAATGTGGGAATTGGGAAATGTGGGAATTGGGGAGAATGGGAATTGGGGAATGTGGGAATTGGGAAATGTGGGAATTGGGGAGAATGGGAATTGGGGAATGTGGGAATTGGGAAATGTGGGAATTGGGGAGAATGGGAATTGGGGAATGTGGGAATTGGGAAATGTGGGAATTGGGGAGAATGGGAATTGGGGAATGTGGGAATTGGGAAATGTGGGAATTGGGGAGAATGGGGGAATTGGGAAATGTGGGAATTGGGAAATGTGGGAATTGGGAAATGTGGGAATTGGGAAATGTGGGAATTGGGAAATGTGGGAATTGGGAAATGTGGGAATTGGGAAATGTGGGAATTGGGAAATGTGGGAATTGGGAAATGTGGGAATTGGGAAATGTGGGAATTGGGAAATGTGGGAATTGGGAAATGTGGGAATTGGGAAATGTGGGAATTGGGAAATGTGGGAATTGGGAAATGTGGGAATTGGGAAATGTGGGAATTGGGAAATGTGGGAATTGGGAAATGTGGGAATTGGGAAATGTGGGAATTGGGAAATGTGGGAATTGGGAAATGTGGGAATTGGGAAATGTGGGAATTGGGAAATGTGGGAATTGGGGAATGTGGGAATTGGGAAATGTGGGAATTGGGGAGAATGGGAATTGGGGAATGTGGGAATTGGGGAGAGTGGGAATTGGGAAATGTGGAAATTGGGGAATTTTGGAATTCAGAGATGTGGGAATTGGGGAGAGTGGGAATTTGAAAATGTGGGAATTGGAGAATGTGGTAACTGGGGAATTTTGGAATTGGGAGATGTGAGAATTGGGGAGAGTGGGAATTGGAAACTGTGGGAAATTGGAGAATTGAAAAATTGGAAAATTGAAAAATACTGAAATTTGGGTATTGAAAAAATTGAGTATCTGGGACCCGTTGCGGTCCACAAGTCAAAGGGTCTAAATCGGTGCGTAACACCTAACGTGTTCCGTCAGAGAGCCATAAAATGCCTTGAACCAAGAGTGTGGACGGTAGGGTATATTGCCGTGCATTTAGGTTGTCGCGCGCCGCTGACAGAAAAAGGATTTGCCTTCGGCGCTTTACCGGATTTACCGAGACACCTCATGAAACACGCCCATGTTTGACTTGAGCTTTTGAAGCAAGCCGAAATTTTCACAGGAACTCACCGCCGCCGTCGGCCAACGTCGCCTTGCACCGCGAACGACGTCAAAAACGACCCGGACGATACAGGGGGGACTTATCATGCCGTTTTAACGACGTGCCGACGGAATAGATTGTTTGTCGATTTTTCACTCGCCTCTCGCGCTATAAAGTCGGCTACGAGTGCTCGTAAAACGGACGGTCTGGTACACAATGGCTTTCATTCTGACACAGATTCACTGCGGTGATGTAGGTACTTGCTGTTCGAATTATATAATGCGTGTTTTGAAACGTTTCGATGGTAAAAGTGATTCGAAAAGTGATTTGATGGGTTGATAAAGGGAAATTAATGTATTCGTGTTAGTTAATGTGGTGACTGCGAGGTATTGGTTGTATTAGGTGACGCATTGAACTGATCGTATATTTTGTGAGGAACACTTTTCCTTAGATAAATAGTCTTGAAATTGAATGCATTGTTGAAGTTTAAATGGTTTGAGATTGTGATAAAAATAGTTTAATATTGGTAGAGTGGAGTTGGTTAAGAATAGGAATTTTTGTGGGATTTTTGAGGAACTCAATAATTGGAGTATGAAGTGCTAATTATGATTAATGTATTTTCTCTCAGATTTTTATCTGTGTTTCGTTGACAATATATACCCTCTGTCAAAATAGAATAATTTTGTTTTTTATTTTTTTTGTCTCTCGTTTCGGTTATTTTCATTGTAGTTTATATTCGCTACATTTATTTCAGTTTTGACATAAATTTTATAACACAATCCACAACTATCAAAGTCACTCATGTCAGAGAGACTGTAACATAAATCTTTCAGACATACTACTTTTAGATGTATACTGACTGATGGTTAGTAAAGCAACCTATTTACCTTGTGATATTTAATTAAGGACCTACTGCAGATAAACAACAGTTTTCATATGATTCATTGATTTCTATATGATTTTCATTTGATATAGTCATATTCTTTCTTATGCATATTCGGTAAAGTAGGAATCGATTATTATATTTCTATACATGGTAAGTTACTTACAATCAATCATTTCCTTACAGAGGATAATACAGATTTCTATAATGTCTTACAATAGTAAATCAAATCTGCTATTGAACTGAAGACAATATACGTAGCGCCATGTAGCGGCAGAATGCAAGAACTAATGGAACTACAGTTTCAAAAGTGTGTGGTTCACCTCGTTCGCCGGAGAGATGGCGCCACTTATTCAATTTTCGAACACTACCTTAACTGTCGTCGGTAATATAGGGAATAATTTTTTACAGTTTTCTGCGTTATCGGCAAATGATCAATATCTGCTATATTAACAGTGGGTTATATAGAAGTCTGATGATAAAGTAGCAACCTTCTATACCGTTGTACGATTCAGCAGTAAATGATTTCAAGAACTACATTGCCTACGATCGACAGGATAAGTAGAGTCTTCCAAAAGTTATGACAAAGTTATTTGCAATACTTTCATCGTACCATTATATCATTTTTGGATTAGAATACAAAGAGATAGTTCTCATGTTAAATATAAGGGTCCATGTTATGACAAAATTGTATTTTCTAGCTTGATATTTTCTAATGAAACTTGAACAATGTCGTGTTTTCAAGTATGAAAAGTGCGATGAGACAAAAGTATAATTTAAAACGAAATGAAAAATCTAATATAGTAATTCTCATTTCTATATCAAGAATACGAGACAGTTCCAGATGATGCAGTAGAATGCGACACATAAGTAAATGGTGAAAACAACCACCTCAACATAATATGAATAAATATTCAACAATTATTACACATCAGACATATCTCCATGTCGTCATACTTCCCAAAAGTGTATTTACCAAAATGATGCATTTCACTTGAAGAACTGATTGCAACATTAAAGCTTATTCAAATATTAAATAGTATTAAATACTACAATACTAAACAGTTCGAAAGTTATTAATATTAAATACAATTTTATAAATCCAATGCATTCTTCATTAATCTCCCATCAGTTTTTTGTACACACCATATCTGTACAGCAAAGGATCGTTATTTCCCCGAAGACCAAAGACAATCAGAATCATCAGTAATTGGGTTACGTTCGTGATAGCTTGCAACGTTATTCAATAACAATATTACAACATGTACGAAGATGTGCAGTGGACGTCTTATAAAAGCTGAGCCGTCTTCCGAAAACAGCAGAACACAGTCATCCTTCCTTCAGAGAAGACATCCTCCAGCTACAGGTATCATCTTTATCAACATTATTTTAACATTTTATATTTTATTTTAAAACGTAAACTTTCTTTATTCTCGTACCAAGTTTCTGACATATGAGTCAACGGTGATAGAGTCATAAAAAGGATTTTAATCTTGTATCCGATCGATAATCTCTTATGGAGTATAATGTACAATATCTGCATTTGATAGGAACATTTGTCTTTAACTTCTTTCTACGGTATATAAGCTCGGAGCTTTTCTCCTAACAGCATCATTCCTTGATCAGCTACAGTACAAGTCTTCTCGGTTCTTCAGCTAGTAAGTAAACTTGCAATCTTCAGTTTCCTTATTTTAACTCTGACATCTTTGGATTATTGTGTCTCCATCTAACGAGCGATTTCATTTAAATTGTTTTTACTTAGCTTTTACTATTTTTACTTAGTGTAAAATGTTTAATTGCAGACAACCCCCAACTAAATCCATCAAAATGGTGTCCACTCGCTTCGTTCTCGCCATCGTCGCCGCCCTCTTCGTCCTCGCCATCAGCGTCGACGCTGCCTACAGAAAACCACCCTTCAACGGCAGCATCTTCGGCAAGCGATCCAGCACCGTCACTGGTAAGATCATACAATAAATTTCAACAAAATACTCGTACACAAAATTTTACGAAATCATACAAACACAAAATTTTCTTCTTTTCGACAATTCTCAATTTTCAACGATAATTCCAAATGATAGTTCCAACGATAGATTCAGATTTTACTCTTCTCATTTCTTCTCGCTGGCAATTTCTACAATTTTGATCATTAACTCCACAGATTACGAAATCACCAACCGTGCCATGTCCTCCGTCTGCGAATCCGTCGCCGAGACATGCAACGCCTGGTTCTCCCGACAGGACTCCAACTAAACACATTTAACCAACACTCCGCTTCGAATATCAATAACGCTTAATCATCTTATCAACGTCTAATATCAAGATAACGCTTCTGCTAGTTCCTCGTTTATCGATTCTTCTGGCGCTTTGAGATTCGTCGCACCGTCCAAAACACTCGTCCTCGTGTATTATTGAGCTTTTACAATTTAATCTACATGACTGTGTAAATGTTTCAACGTAATAAACTATTTATTTAAATGAACTCATTCTAACCTTCATTAATTACCTCCTCATATTTTGTTTCCGAATTATTCATTTTGAAAAGAAAATTTTAATAATCATTTATTTTGAGAAAAATTAAAAGCGAGATCAAACTTTACATTTTTTATTATTTATTTTGAAAGAAAATTTCAGTAGTCATTTATTTTGGGAAAATCATAAAATCAAAATAAAATTATTGTATATAAAAATTAAGAACAAGTTTGTAAGAACAATATTTGTCATACAAACTAAGAACAATATTTTTATTAAATTTTCAAAAGAAAATGAATGATTAAATTTTTAAGGAGTCAGGACTAAAGAATTTAAAAATTAGGACACATATTAAAAAAATGATAACAGATGGTTCACAACAGAAAATGAATTATTAAACTTTTAAGGAGTCAGGACTAAAGAATTGAGAAATTAAGGCACATTAAAAAAATGATAACAGATGGTTCACAACAGAAAATGAATTATTAAACTTTTAAAGAGTCAGGACTAAAGAATTGAAAAATTAGAACACATGAAAAAAATAATTTATTGATTTCAAAAAAGATCTACAAAATAAAATATAGAGATTTATTGTAAAATTTAGTAAAAAAGGAAGTAATATGAAGAAGCTTGCTATAAACCAAATTCCCATTTCAACTAGTCGTTCATTGATTCTATGGAAATGCTATCGAGAGCAGACGTATGATCCTGTCCCTCTCGAGAAAGAAAGGAAGATAGAAAGAACACTCGATTTAAAGTAATTTACGTAGCCCGCAGGAGTTCAACGAAACTCTTTTCAATATCTGAAATGCAGATCGAACGATTCGATATGGAAAGCACGTTTCATTCACCTACCGGGATAAGGGTTACGCTGTCTGTTACTCCCAGACGAAAAATGTGTTTCGTAAAAATAAACGGAAAAATAATTGGCAAATTAATGAGAATGCACGAAAAATCAATAACGCCATAAAACAGATACCTTTCCATTACCTCACTCAATAATATACAATATCAAAATAACATACAATAAACTCAAACGTCTCGATTCTCCAATTCTCCAAAGCGTTCAATCAGTATTCACAGAGCACGTTTGTTAAATGCAAAAAAGAACATCGAAAGTATTGTACGAAAATATATGAAACACCAAAAAACACAAACGTTTAAAATGCAATAAATCTGTTACTTTTTGTGACGATCCATTATCTCGAAATCAGACAATTATTTCTCGGTCGAATTCGTTCATCGAGAAATTTATTCGACAACAGCATAGGGGAGCAACAAGCAACCTCGACAATACGACAGCAGATCGACATGATCGAAATACTTAATTAATCCCTAAATCCTGTTATAAATACAGTGATACCTGTCGATTTTATTTCAGTGTACCGCGACCACCGCAAGGTAAGTGTTAACCTGTTTCTCGACATGGACATTTCAAACGCTTTTCAATTTTCTACGGTTTACGTCTGGCTTCCTCCGTTACATGTGACATATGTACATATAACGTATGTGAATTCCGTACATCTATAAAATCGAATTCGAAGCTTTTATGTCGAAAGTGGTTGATTTTATTCAGTGACGGAATAATTCGGAAGGGATGGTTTCGGGTTGTGAAATTTTTGGGAAATTAATTATGAAGGGAGACTGTTTTTATTTTGCAGTTTTTGCTTTGCTTGACGAGTGAATAATATAGTGCATAGGGAGTACTGTGTACAGGGAGTATAGAGAGTACAGTGTATAGGGAGTATAGGGAGTATGTGTGAGTAAAACGTTGGTGTAGGTAATGTAACACGTGAGTAATACAGAGTAGGTAATGTAACACGTGAGTAATGCAGAGTAGGTAATGTAACGCGTGAGTAATACAGAGTAGGTAATATAACACGTGAGTAATACAGAGTAGATAATGTAACACGTGAGTAATACAGAGTAGGTAATGTAACACATATGTAGGACAGCATGGTAATACAATATGTGAGCAGTACAACGTGTGGATAACGCAACACATAGGTAATGTAACGCGTGGGTAACGCAATGCGTGAGTAGTATAATATGTAGGTAATGTAACGCGTGGGTAATACAGTGCGTGAGTAGTACAACGTATAGGTAATGTAACGCGTGGGTAATGCAATGCGTGAGTAGTACAACGAGTAGGTAATGTAACGCGTGGGTAATACAGTGCGTGAGTAGTACAATATGTGGGTAATCCAACGCGTGGGTAATACAGTGCGTTAGTAGTGCAACGATTGGGTAATGTAACGCGTGGGTAATACGATGCGTGAGTAGTACAGCGTGTAGGTAATGTAACGCGTGGGAAATAGAATGCGTGAGTAGTGCAATATGTGGGTAATGTAACGCGTGGGTAATACAGTGCGTGAGTAGTGCAATATATGGGTAATGTAACGCGTGGGGAATACGGTGCATGAGTAGTACAACGAGTAGGTAATGTAACGCGTGGGTAATACAGTACGCGAGTAGTACAACGAGTAGGTAACACATCGCGTGAGTAATTCACTGCATAACTAACACAACCTATAAATACTACAACCCATATCTCACAAAATCGGTGGCCATAAAACCCATACTAATCATCCAACTAATCACCATTCAACTAATCTTCCCCAATTAAAAAAATACCACAACCTACTGCAAATCCACATAATCCACATAAAAATGTCTAACCAATCCACATATATAGAAAATTCACACCATCCGTAAGATTTGTGGATCCACGTCAGGTTGAATTCGCGTAGAACTCACACGATAGATTTCGCGCATGAAAATGCCAGTACAAACATCCGGAATATTTAAATGTGATGGGGCTTCTTCGTGCAAACTTCACTATTTCCTCGCCCACGGTCTTCAAGTATTCTGTCCACTTTTCGCGATAATGGAAAATCGCTCAGTTTTCTGCGTACAGTCGTTGAACGCGTGTCGCGTGCATCGTATCTCAAGGAACCTCGACATCTTCCGTTTCCGCGAGCAATGGAGATCGTACAGGAAATCGGACTGATCGACTGATAACATTTACGAGACTCGTTTACGATCATTTATCCAGTGATTTTGATAAACTGTGTGGTGATTTTTTAGATTCAAGTTGACGATCATGGTGGTCTTACGATCTTTTGCGTCTACGAGAGGACTTGTCGTTGGGGGTGAGTTTTTATTTGTTGCATCTCTTGTTATATTATTATTTATTTTTAATTATAAATTTGAGATTTTTAGAAGTAAGTTAACTGATTAGAGTAGTTCCTTTTTAAATGTTTTTGAACAATGAAAAGTACAAATATAATGAAAGACTTCTTCAAAGAATGATTTCTAATAAAATGTTCAGAGTATAAATACTTAAATTTATTTTTTTATTATGTTGTTTAACAATTGAAATATTTTTACTGAATTTTCCTAGCGTTCCTTCTTGCCACACTAGTATCGATTGGTCAAAATGCAACAAAAGCGGACGAGGTGCCAGCATTTTTTCTAAAAATCGCGAAGAACATCCCTCGCGTGGGGCGAAGCGACGGATACGATGGTTTCTTCCAGTCCCGACAGAACATCCCCAAAATTGGAGGACACGATACACAGGTACTAATAATTAATATAGCTGTATTTATATAATATTATAGTTAGTCACGTACATTTTTGTATATTTGCAAGTCTGAATCCTGGCCTGCGTACGCTAATAACGAACCCTTCGCAAGACCCATTAAGAGACGTGCGGACTATCCACAGCTTCAAGGTAAAAAATTAAAAAATTAATAACTTGTTGAAACTATAACAATAATATATTGTTATTAATAGACGCATGGTCTTGGCAACATTTTCCTCTTGCAATAGAAGGACCTCGAGAACTCTGGCGAACTTTGGCAGGATATTCCAAGGACACGTCAGATGAGTAAGTGTTGAAAGGGTCTTTATATGTCTTGAAATGTTGAAACTCAATTTTGCAAATTTTGAAATTTCCAAGTTTCTGGTTTTCCAATTCCTACACTTCCAAATTTCGACTTTTCCCAATTCCCACATTCTCCAATTTCTACATTCCCCAATTCCCACATTCCCCAATTCCCACATTCCCCAATTTCCACATTCCCCAATTTCCACATTCCCCAATTTCCACATTCCCCAATTTCCACATTCCCCAATTTCCACATTCCCCAATTTCCACATTCCCCAATTTCCACATTCCCCAATTTCCATATTCCCCAATTTCCATATTTCCCAATTCCCACATTCCCCAATTCCCACATTCTCCAATTCCCACATTTCCCAAATCCCACGTTCCCCGATTCCCACATTCCCCAATTCCCACATTCCCCAATTTCCACATCCCCCAATTCCCGCATTCCCCAATTCCCACATTCCCCAATTTCCACCTTCCCCAATTCCCACATTTCCCAATTCCCGAAATTTCTAATTTTCCAAATCCTCAAATTCCCAACTCCCCTAAATCTCCAAGTCCCCAAATTCCCAACTCCCCTAAATCCCCAACTCCCCAAATCTCCAACTCCCCAACTCCCAAAATCCTCCCCTTCCCAAATCCCAAAATTCCCAAAACCCCCAAATTACCGTCACGACCTAAAAAATTACGCTAACTTCTGTTTCCCAAAGTATCGATAACGAAATATGGGAGCGAAAGAAGAGGACAGGGAACGAGGGTATGGCTCCAGCAGAGAATTAGCATAAACGGAATGCTGCGACCCAGCTACGGTGTCCATTGAAGATAATACTTATTACTTGTTGTGTCGGTGTAAGGTGTTGGGAAAAATATTGTGAACAATAAACGTGTAAATAGGAGATGCATTCATTTTTTTTTACAAACATTGCTCCCTTCCATCCGCATTAAACACATGCAATACGAGGGATACGAGGGTTCGCACCCCAATTTCGAGTATTGAAAACGTTCCTTGTAGATCTTGGGTCTGGCGCAGGTGCAGTGACACGTGCTTCGATAATTTTCTTATTGTACATGTTTTGAAGAAAATAATAACGGGGTAGATGTCGTAACGTTTGTATTTTTTAACGTGTTCTCTGACGCGTGGACTACCGATGGCGTATTAATTTTAATTCAGCAAATTACCTTTTTGTTCAACTTTGAAATGTGGTCAAAACACGAAGTAAAGGCATTACAATTATAATAAAATCATAATTTTTGTGTAGTTCAATATTGTTAATCTTCTATATAAGTTGTATAACATTTAATACACACATAATACAAAATAAATTCTGCGTTCCTTTTCCAATTTTCAAGTTTCCCCCATTTCTGACAAGAATACATTGCATCGTTCCGAGGTAAAATTGTTAGGGTCTGTCGAAGGTTCGATAAATGACATATAATCTGCCAATTTTCTTTACCAAAACATAATGGCAGATGTTTCCCTAACCCTCTGTATTGTAACCGTCCAAAATAAATAAGGGGTTACTTATAAGATTGTTACATCCGTATAAAGTCGAACTACACCGATATTGATCTTTCATTTATACACAAATTTTTAAGTCGACAAAGAAGATGTAGAATTTTTCCTGTTTTCTTTAAAACAATTCACAATCTTTTATGTTTGAGATACATACAATCTGTAGTCAATCTGATCTGTTGTCGGATGAACTATAATTCTTACTGTGAACTTACACATATATATGATTGGAAAGTAGGCTGTTCTTTAGACTATGAGTCAATTTTTTTTTTTTAAATAGATGCAATGTTAGTATCCAGAGAGTGGTTATTATAATGACAAGCCTCGAGTCGACACGTGATAGTTTGCAACACGTGCTGGCTAGAAATGTGGATGGTTTGCAGCTTCGGGAGCCACTTTCGCATCATTTCTAGGAACCTTCAACACCCAACAAGTTCATCTACCGTCGATAAGACATAAAACATTAAATTCTAAAATAATAAAAAGTGGATATCTTGATTCTGAGTAAGAAGAGTCTAACAGAAACGAGTCACGTAATCTTTTTATGAGTGTAATTGTTTTTTGAACTAATTAAACAGGGAATAAAAAAAATAACTGTGTCAAAGACTAGTTCAAAGACCAATAAAAAGAGAGCCAATAAAAGATCTGACCAATAAAACTATAGTACAGAAAATAAATTATAGGATATTATAATAATATATGTAGCACAAAGTTAACAAATGATGGTTCAACTATTTTTACAAAAATATCCGATTTCAACCACTGACAACAAGATGGCGGCAGCAGTCCATCTTAAAAGAGAAGCTTCCTCTCTCCACCAACAGTTGGCGCCACATACAGCTCTCCGAGCGCCATGTTCCTGCCCTCTGGTGCACACGAAACAATAAATTGTTGTAATTACAATAATCCCGGTGTTTAAATCAATGCCACGGTGTTTACGCGAAGTCGGCTACGCAACCGGCAATTTTAATTCATTACCTACCGAAACCGTGCTAGAGAGTCGTCTTCCGAGCGGCCACTTCCCATGGGGTTAACAATGAAAGACAGGGGATTCCCTTGCTCTGGAAACCGATCTTTTCGAACCCATCATCGATAGACCGGCTTTCTAAACATCAGCTAATTACCCTCTCGTGTAATCCTGGAAGAAGCTTGGCATCAGCCGCGTAATTAAAAGCCACGCTGTGTTCCCTCGAGACCCCATACATCTCGCCGTAAACTTTCCAAATAATTATACCGAGTATTATTTAATTCGAGTAATGACTACCGTGGCGAACGGGTGCCGTAACAACGGCACCAAAACTCAGACTCCGAGGAAGAGATCCCGGATTCTATCCTCTTCTCTCTTTCAGTCTTCAAACTCGTGCTCCTCGTTCTCGTGCCAGCGGATAATTCGCACGTAGGACGTTTTCACCTTTCCGTGTGCCAGCCGATTTTTCGCCGAATAATCTCGCGTTTCCGTGGCGCAAGCAACACACGCTAGAGGCTCGACCGCGAGATGTGTCAGAGATGCTGCGGGTACACGCGGACGAGTCCTGGCCACGCTCTGCACGTAACAATTTAAGGAAACCGCACGTAACGCGCGTTCTCTGTCAGCTACAGAAGGCGGAGAGACGAGCCGACACG